ACGGTGGGAGGTGTGACTCAGAAGGAATGTTGGAACTGTTCTTATGTGACTGTGGTAAAGGTCACTCAAATCTATACATATGTTACAACTCATGAAATTGCACACAAAAAATTCCATTTTGCTTTAGGGTAATTTAAAAGCAAAATAAATACTGCAGGATCCTTTTTTGAAAATGAAAAAATGCAGAGACAAGACCAGAAGCAGGGACTATGGGGAATTCAGGGCTCTGAACTTGGTTTGAGAGTTGCCAGCTACACACTGTGGGGCCCACTATCCCTAGGAGTGTAGAGGTGGTAACTCTGTAGAGTCTGTTCTCAGAGATCCATGATAAAATGGAAACTAAGGAGGTTTGATTTGATTTGGTGAATGGGAAAGAGAGGCACTTCTAATACTACATAACTTGTAATGTCTCTACTGTACATTTCTAAAATTCACAAGAACAAATGACTCATATGGTACTCTTCTTAGAGTACAGGGTGGATAGATACATCCCCCCTTCCCGATATGTATCAATATAGTTTTAGAATTCTCTTTTAATAGGATATGTCTTCCAACTATGCTTAAATTTACAGTCTGATCCTTGGAAGTTGTCACAGATAGCCTGGTAACCCGGTGCGGCTGAAAACAATATTTTCCATGCAGCATCCTTCCTTCATTTCCACTGAGATTTTTTGTATCAGTACGACCAGTCTGGGCTGCATTAAACACTAGTTTAATCACCCTGTGTGAGAAAACTGCTGTGTGAAGATCACCCTGTCTGAGAGAACTGCTTTAGACACGGAGACTTTAATTTTATTGTCCACATTTTGGTAAATGTGGGACTGCTGTTGTCACAATTGTGTGTGTTGTAAGAACTCTTGGTGTTTTATTAAAAAATCATTGGAATTTATAAATGAGATCCATAAAGGTTAGAGATGAATTTCCTCAACCTCAGTGGTTCTGAGAGTGAAATAGAGTTCCAGTTAAGGCTACTCTGTATCTCCCCAGATTTCTGCATCTTGAGGAGCCCGACTAATCCAATTACAGACTCAGGGAGGAAAGATTTTGCCATTTATTCTTTAGATTTTAACTGGTAAGAACAAAGGATTTAACTTTTATATTTTAATTTTTTTCCCTGGAAATTTAATAGTGGGAGATTAATATTGTTCAATTTTTACCAGTCTTATCCTTTGGCTAGTGTAATATTTGGAGAATTTTTATGCTGTCACCTGGGTTCCACTGAGCTCACAGAGACAACACGAAGTAACATAGTATGAGATAAATTATAAACGGATATTTCAATAACATTCACAGTGGCTTTATTATAGTAAGAAGCTAGGAAAACTTCAGGGCAGGAATAATAGAGGAATCGAGGAAGATTGCCAAAGCCCAAATGCTTGGCAGGCCACGTGTAACAGGGTGTTATTTTCAGAACAAAGGGTTAAAACTTACTCTCTCACAGAGGAATGAAGGTGAGGAAGAGGAAAGGAAGCAGGACAGGAGGAGGAGGAGGAGGCCTAATTCAAGTTCTCACTAAGACTACTTAGTGCAAACCATCCTGAAGCTCTTAAAACAGCAGGGAGGAGGGGAAGGAAGAGTGCAGACGTAACTCATCCCACTGTTTAAACAAAGGAGCCAACAATCTCAGGATTTAATTGCCAGGTGCTTCTCATAAATTGTGGAAAAGCCATAAGAAAAAAAAAGAAGAGACCTTTGGAGTTCATCTGTACCAGGATATCTCGCAGAGGAATTTTTAATGAACCTATACATAGGAAGGTATACAAGGCAGAAACCCCCCACCCCACTCCCTCTTCAGATTATGTGAGAGCCCATCTGCACATTATCAGCCAGGTGCATAGATTTGCTTGCCTTGCTTCTTTAATAAAAGTGCATGCTTTAATTTTCTTAATAAATTCACTTTAATACAACACACACACACATAGTACCTGGAGTCACTTGTTTAAATTCATTCATATGAGCTTGACAGAGGGAGATGGGGACAGCCCTTTCCCTCTGACTCAGGGGTTGTCTGATAACCTCTCTGGTGTTTGTGAGAGGTGCCTGCCACAGCTTTGCAGTTAATGTACTTAATATGTGACTCTTCACAGTTTTCTAAATTCATTTTGAGCACTATAAAATTATTTTGTGTGTGTGGGGGGGATTAGGAGGAGGGTGTCAATGGGGGAAAAATAAGAACCATCTATAATAAAAATAATTTTAAAAAATAAAGATAAAATAAATAAATACTTTTGTAAATTGTTAGGTTTCATGCACTGTTCAATAGTTTTAGACCATTTAATTTTTCTAAAATGATACCATGTTAAGTTGAAAATACTAAATCAGTGACTAGAGATCAAATTCGGAAAGGATTAAGGTCATATCACTGTTGGTAAGAATCACTCTAAACCACTCATTTAACAATAGAGAATGGAGGATTGATCTGCATTTAAGCAATGAGGCCATGTAAACACAGTCTTTCCCAATTACTATCTAGTATTCTTATCACACTATTCAATTACCATTAACTCCTTTATTTGCTTTCTGGTCATCAACATGGTAAATTATCTTTATATCATCAGAAATCCTTTTCTTCTTTGGAGAATAAGCTTAAAGAAATGTAATAAAACATTTATTTTTAATCATGATGAAGACAGAATTACCCAAGATAAACGATCTTTTCATGCCCCGGAGGAGCTAAGCCATATGCTAATTTATAGGTGGGACTGTGGGGAGGTATTAGAGAAGACAGAGAGATATGAAATAGGAATAAAGACAGTAACTCTTGAAATATTATCCCTTCAAGTTCAATGAGGGACAGAGTTTTCTTCTGGCAGAGAAGAAAAGCTACGCCCAGCTCAACTGTAACATGTGATTTCCTCTTTGTGGGGATGCATACCATCATAGCTGCTGGCTGGAGACCCACCAGCCCATAGTGACTAGTTCTTCGATGTGCCCCGAAGCCTGGATTAAACAACCATCTACATATCCCTTTTCATGATAGAGATGATTATAGTTCCTGTTCCTAACCATTTGGGAGGACAAGGGATCCTCACAACGTGTGTTCAGTGGGTTATTGGATATGAAATGTGGGAGCGATCTGTCTCCCCACTGGAGCAGATTCACTGGATGGGCCCTCCCTCTCCCATTCTCTGTGTCCCTCTGGAAGCTGCCTACTTTGTGGAAAATGACAACACTATTACAGGTATAATTTCTTTTTATTTGTGAAACAAATATTCTTATGCTCTGTCACCTTGATGACATAAATGAAGTTAATTGATATTCTACTTCAAAAGAGGGGATTTGAAGTCACAAATGTTTGAAATGTCTACTTGAAACTCATTTTTCCTATTAAATGAGAAAGTTAACAGTTGAGTAAGGAATGTATATAGTTACTGAAGTGATTTATTTTCTAAAGCATGACATTGCTGTCATTAACTTAGTGAGCTGGATAGACTGAATTAGTTCATTCAGCAAAAATATATTCAGTGTATACTTCCATGCATACATACAGTACTAGGTGCTCTGTGGAACACAAAGGTTAGAATATTATGGGTGATTAAGGCAGTTGGAACTATGTAATGAGTGTATCAAGAATGACACAAAGTACCATAGGGATCTAAAGAGGAGGGATGTTCCAATTAGGGTTATGAAGAAATACTTCATGGAGGTTTATTTACAGTGGAGCTTAATTGAATTAAAAGAATTGTAGGATTTGGATAGATGGTCAGTGAGCATGTCAGTCCGGACAGAGAAAATTGGAAAAGAGAGGCACAGAAGTATGAAAGGTAATTTGTATTTGAGGAATGGTCAGTAGTCTCATTTGATTGGTCAATGAAATATATTGAGAGTTTACTATAGGCTAGTACTTTTAAACTCTCTAGAGAAATAATATAGGAGTATTATCTTTGTTTTCTAATGATGAAGCTGTGGCTTAGAGGGATGATGTTATTTGTCCAAGCTGTTTATGTGGTTCAAAAATGATAAAGCAGGACCTGAGCTTCATCAATTTGGCTCAAGAGTCTATATGTGTAACATTTAGGTCACAACTCTCTTCTTCAAGGAGTCATGTAAAATAAAGAAAAAAAAAATGTTCGTTTTGGTTTGAACTCTAGATGGTGATGAATGGTTGCCTAAGTAGTCTGAGCTTCATTTAAGACGGAATGGGGATCTTTAAGTTTTGGGGCCAGGAGAAGAAACAATCAGAAGAAAGTTTAAAGTATAAAGTATAATTAGGTAGGAGTTTAAAAAAATGAATTTGAATTAGGTGTAGTCAAGGACCACTGGAGACTATTTAGTAATTTACTGGAGTGACCTTGGTAGGCACTCATCCAGAAAGAGGATTAATGGGACAGAGATAAAATTGATGAGATGCTATGATGATAACTGCATGGAAGATGATCATGTTTTTCCTGATACTACATAGTCACAGATAAATAAAATAAGTCTACATTTTTGCATTCTGCCCATGAAAGTTTAATTAACATTATTAATTAAATTGATTTGATCAAGTTCCCTATAGTTTTATAATAAGTAAAGGGAAGCTGGTAGAGATCAGGCATAGCAGAGTTGTGACCTAATGTTTCTTCTTTAAACTTTCTCCATTTCCATCTGTTTTCCCTCCCATTCTTCCTTACTTTCCTTCCTTCTCTAACTCCTCCCTCCTTCTTCCCTTTGTTTTTATCTGGTACTGTCTATTCTCTCTGCCTGACACCATAGCAGAAAACTATGTTGGTATGTCATAGCCATTATCTTACACACAACTTTTTCAAGTTTCAGTAGCAAAAATTACATTATTTTCAGTAGACAAAAATTGGTTAGAACTGCAGTATAGGGAAGCTTGTCCACTGAACCACTTGGTAAGGTTATTCTGATTCACTTTGATTTGTACATATATGTCTACTTTTCAACTTGAACTGTAGTAGGCAAATGCCTAGAACCATGCCTGGTACAAAGCAAGTCGAGCAAGTGTAAGAAAATAAAGTTTTATAAAAGAAATTTTATACAAAAGCATAGGAAAGTACTTTCTACAGAACCACAACAGCTTTTAGTGTTCTTACATTCACACTGTGTTCCATCTTGTCCTCTGTAATCATATACATTTTTTTCCAAATCTTCCCCTTTCAAGCCGTTTTCTTGCATTTTTTTAAAATGATAATCCACTTTTCTCTCTACAAGGGATTGTTTCTAAAACATTAAAGACAATATATTGGTTAACATCCACTTGCTATTTAGAAATGCGCAACAAATATTTATAATATGAAATGAACAGTCATTCCTGTCTTGTGACTTGTAAGGTTACTCTGAGTACAAATAACGGAGAGTAGGAAGGGGTAAATTTCCATTTTGGGTCAAACATGATGAATATACACAGTTAATGTGTAGATGCAACTTACATAACTGCAAATTTTAAAGGAAGCAGTCCAGTTTCAGATCAGAAAGGGGTCTCTTCATCCATACCTATCCTGGGAATTTCTTTTTTGTTTGCGTTTTATTTTTATTTTGTTGATTTGTTTGTTTATTTTCATATTATTTATTTTACTTTATTTTATTTTTCCTTCACCATTTATCACCTCTATGCCCTCTTCCATCTCCACCCCTCTACTCTCCCCCTCCCCTGAAATCACCACACTGTTCTCCATGTCCATGAGCTTCCTCTCTCTTTTTCTTTATTTTGCTCAATGCCCCTATTCTGCCTCCTCGCAACCCACCACCAGACTGTCTTCCTGCTCTCTATCTAAGAGTCTATCTCTATTTTGCTTGGTGGTTCAGTTTGCTTATCAAATTCCACATACAAGTGAGATCATAGGGTACTTGTCTTTCTCTGGCTGTCTTATATTACTTAGTATAATGCTTTCTAGGTCCATTTATGCTGTCACAAAGGGTAAGATTTCCTCCTTTTTACAGCAGAGTAGTATTCCATTGTGTAAATGTACCACAGCCATTTCATTAGCCCAAGTGTCCATCAGTAGGCGAGTGAGTAAAAAAGCTGAGGGAATTTCTAAATCACCTTCAATTGGAGGGTTTCTTAGTGAGTTAACCACAAAGTTTTTCAGGTCTACCATAGGTAAAAATAATATTAATACATGAACTGTGACTTCCCTTTGTGAATCTCTTGATTAGTATTGATCCTGGATGTACCAGGAAGGATGTAATTGCACAGAGTAATAACCCCAGAGCTCCTCAGGTGGTTCCCTAGCATATTCAGCAGAAAATGGATCAGTACATGCATGTGAACAAAACTACCCAAGGCCACAGAAAGGACCATCCGAAAGTATTAGAATAGCACTCCTCACCTACCTATCTTGTCTATTCCCACCAGCTACTCTGGGAACATTTATTCACAGTGCACTGGGTAGAGTACTAAAGTGGGTCCTGCCTCAACAGTGGGGAATAACTCGTCCCAGGTTAAACATGGTTCTGGCTCTACCTAACAAACATTAAAAAGCCAAACCTATAACAATCAAACTGATTCTAAATAAATTATCTACATCTAAGGAAAAGCTAAAATTATTTATAAAAATATAAAAATACTTAACACCCAAAAAGTAAAATTCATGATATCTGGCATCCAATCAAATACTACTAAGCATTTAAAGAAGCAGAGAAATATGACCCCTCAAGTGAGTAAATCAATCATAACTGACCCAGAAATGACATAAATGTTAGAATTAAAGAAAAGAACATTAACAATGATAACATAATTGCATCCCACATATTCACAAGGCAAAGAGACATGAAAGATATAAAAAGGATCAAAATCAGTTTTTTAAATGCGTGAGACAGTAATACAATGGACACATTAACGCCATAGTAGACAATTCAGAACAAGAGCTTAATTAATGTCTGTTGAGGAACAGAAACTATCCAAAAGGAAAAGACTGTGAGAAAAAAGTCACAATGAAAAGAGTATCAGTGAGACATGGGATATTATCAAGAGGCCTGATAAGTCTGTAGAGAGGAAAGAGGGGAAAAATAAGTATTTGACAATAATGTTTGTCCTCACTGCTTCTATTCAACATTATTCTGAGGTTTTAGTCTATGCAGTCAGGCAAGAGAAGAAATACAAAGAGAAGAGAATTTGAAGAGAAGAAATGAAACTACCTTTATTTTCAGACAATATGATCACTTGTGTAGAATATCAGTTGGCATCTGGAAAAAAACAACCTACTAGAACTAATAAATGATTTTAAATAAAGCAGAATACAAGATGAATATAAAATTGCTTTTCCATATACTAACCTCTAATTTGAAAAAAAATTATAGTAGCAAAAATTATAAAATACTTAAGGGTGGATCTATCAAAAATATGTAAGACTTGTATACTGCAAACTCATAACATTGATCAGAAAAGTTAAGGATACCTAAATAAATGGAGAGACATAGTTGGTTCATGAATTAGAAAAGTCAGTATTATTAAGAGAGCAACTGATTCCACACTGATCTATTAACTCAAAACAATTCAAATCAAAATCTCAGTAAGATTACTTTGTAGAAATTGACAAGCTGATTCTAAAACTTATATGGATATGTTAAAGGCCTTAGTTTAGCCACAAAAAGTTTAAAAGTGGAGAATATAATAGAAAGGCTAATAGTACTTATTTAACAATTATTAAAAATACAGTAATCATTGGTTATGTATATGTGCCATGCGGCGAAGGTGGGGGTGGGGAAGGAGTATGGAGGAAGGTGTCAATGGGGGAAAAAAGGAAGGACATCTGTAAGAGTTTCAACAATAAAGATAAATTTTTTAAAAAATATAATAAGACAATAAATTAGACAATTAAGTCAAAGATCAAAATAGTTCAAAATTGGACTGGTGCAATTTATTTTCGACCAAGTTGCAGAGGCAAAATCTTTTAAAGATTTTTAACTCTAGTTTAAGCCTATTATTTGGAGCAAAAATATACATAAGGTCAAATTTGAAAGCAAAGATATAGAAATATTGATTAACCACACACAAATGAATTGAAAACCTCTTCTACTAAAACATGATTTAAAAAAGACAATTTAGAATAACTACATTGGAAATCTCCATACTTCAAATAGCTCTGCCATTAACATACTTTAAGCATCCTGTGGTGTTACCATTCCTACCAGTAGTGGTCACGTCTAATGGTTACTCCCCATGCCAGAATTTATGCCACTAAAATTAGCCAGGACTCACTGAACAGAAATTGGCACCAGGGAAAAATTAAGGGAAACCTGAGGCATTCTATTGCTCTCTAAAAACCAAGATATTTTCAGAGATATCTAGAATCAAAGGGGAAAAATTGACCAACTTGGAGAGAACTCCCACTTTAAAAAAGTGGTAAAAAATTGCATATCAGAAAATAATAATTCCACTGAATTGGAATAAGCTGGCCCTGGATGGTGTGGCTTAGTGGTTAGGGTGTTGGCCCACACAAGAAGGGTCATGGGTTCGATTTTCAGTCAAGGGCATGAACTTGGGTTACAGGTTCGATCCTGGCCCCAGTCCAGGTGCATGCGAAGGCAACTAGTGGATGTGTCTTTCTCACATTGATTGTTTTTCTCTCTCTCTACCCCCAGTGACTCCCTCACTTCCTCCTTCCCTTCTACTCTCTCTAAAAATCAATGGAAAAATATCTTCAGGTGAGGATAAACAAAAAATTAAAAATAAAAAATTTGCAATAAGCTTGGAACAAAAAATTGAAACTTGCCATCTGAGTAGTGAGTTTTGGATAATACTAAAAGATACATGTGACAAAAGTAGTTTAAAAGATTATCATACATATTTGAATTTCCAATATTAAAAAAATTGTGATATAGCAGTATATATCAATGTAACCAAATTATGTACATCTTAAAATAAGCTACTTAAGATGATTATTTACAATTATTTACAATTTAGACCAACATTTATTGATATGGCAAGTTGTCAGTGTTAATTAAAAAAAACAATCTAGCCCGGCTGGTGTGGCTCAGTGGTTGAACATCAACCCTTGCACTAGGAGGTTACCCGTTCAATTCCCAGTCAGGGCACATGCCCAGGTTGTGGGCCTGATCCCCAGTGGGGGGCATGCAGGAGGCAGCCAATCAATGTTCTTTCTCTTTAATCAATGTTTCTATCTCTCTCTCCCTCTCCATTCCTCTCTCTAAAAATCAATAAAAAATTTTTTTTAAATAAAATAATAAAAAACAATCTATAGAACAGCCTATGAGATATAACATGAATTTATTTATTAGAATACAAAAACATTCATAGAAATATTATGCAAGTGTATATGTGCCTGTGTGTGTGTGTGTGTGTGTGTGTACTGGTAAGTTAATAGAGTGGTGCTGAGATTAACAAATGATTTATCTTTTTTTAAAAAACAGATTTAAACTCTATATCTTAAAATATTATATATTATTTAAAATGAAATGCACTGGAGATGGCCGCAGGTAGGACCGGAGGGAGGGTGAGTGTGTGAGAGAGTGAGCAAGTGTATGAGAGAGTGTGGGTGGACTTGAAGGTGGATGACCAAACCCCAGCAGTGGAGAGCCACAGAGCAGAAAGTTCCTGTGCTGTGGACGGAGCAGCCAGCTACCTCGGTAAGCGGCCCTTCAGGGTGCTTCTCCATGCGCTGCATGGAGGTCCCACCATTTTGGAAGATCCCAGGTCTTCCCTGGGAGGAGGCAGTGGGAGCAGCTAGGGCCCAGCAACCTGAGCCCACCAGCGCACCTGGCACCATTGGACCAGTGGACACTGTGTCAACACAAACTGGTGCACAGTAGTGGAGCTCCCAAGGTGCTGATCTCGGAAGCCTCAGACAGCCCTGTGCCCAGTACCATCCCCAATAGTAGCACCCCTATCAGAGTCCAGATATACCCCCAGCAACAGAGGCTGGGGGACAGACATCCATCCCCAGGCAACAGAAGCAGAGACCAGCAGCTAAGACCCATCCCCTAAAACTACAGCAAAAGTTGAGCAGGAGTTGAGCCCCACGGGGGCAGTAGCACTCCCCAGCTGCTAGTTGTAGGAACTGGGGCTCCAGAGAGGCTGTGTTGTCCAGTAGCCCACAAGAGCAGTGGGAAGCCTGAGCCCTAGAGAGACTGGTGATCCAAATGCCCGCCTGAGGGAACTGCAGAGTACAGGGCCACCAGAGAGGACTGTGCGACCCAGCAGGGACTGTGCCATCTAGTTACCCATGGGACCTGCGGGGTGCAGAACCACCAGAGAGGCC